ATAATTAAATTTCAAGTGTTATTTATTTTATTGCTGGTAGTTTTGAAGTTTATATATTTTTTTGGCAAACTTTAGTTTTTGAAATTTTTGACGGGTTTTTGACGGTTTAAACCAGTATTATACCCTTGTCATGTCAAAAACCACTTTTTGACGTCAAAAACCCAACCCTGTTTGGTGGTAATTTTTTTCTATTTTGACAAAATGATTCAAAATGTTTTTGTATTTTTAACTTCATAAAATTTTCCAAAAATTAGTTGCTTATAATTTAATAATAAGAGATTTTTATATTGCACTCTTCTTCTGAAAGCTTTTGTACTCCCATTCAAGGAAATCTTTAACGTATTTTTTCTCAGCAAACTAAACCAATCACACATTTTTTAACAATCGCAAACAGCAATGTTTGTCGACAAATTGTTACAATTGTTGCATTAATGCTAATTATTTCTATTTCATTTTAACCTTTTATAACATATTTTAATTTTTAAAAAAAAATTTTTAAGAACTAACTGTATATTATTTAATTTTGCTGTTTTGTTGGTAAATATTTGATTCAAAATTTTAATTGTATAGTTATCACTTTTGAACGTTCATAAATGTTGCTTGCATTCCAGAGAGATATTCCCAAAAGTATTCCTCCTTTTACCCTAAAAATACTGACTGAGACTAAGGAATGCATAGGAAACATATTAAATGATGTATAAACATAAAATATAAAAGAAAAAATTTCAGATGTGTTTAGTAGATAGAAGGAAAACGAAGTTTAGTGCTTTAGTTCTGTGCTGTACAAGATTCTAGTTGTTGAAACTAAAACAATTTACTATACTAAACTAAAAAACTATGTATTTAGATTGGAATTTTTTAAATATTTTAATTTCGAATAAGAGAAAAATACAAAAAAGTATAAAATTTTTCTACTTTTTTTTTCAGAGTATACAACAAAAAATTAGACAATTTTACATTTGTGGCATGTATTTTTGTATACTGAGTCCCTTAAAATAATAATGCTAATTCAAAGCAGCATTATTTAAAAATTTGACTTGAGATATTGGTTTAAAGAAAATATGATCAATGAATTTTATTAAAAGCACTGTTAAGATAAAATACAGTACACAGTACAGTTTTATATTGAAATGTAAATACAGTAACTCAGAAAAGTGTTGGTGCACTTATGACTTTCAATGAAATAAGACTATCCATTAATTAAAATGAATATTTCAGAATGGATATTTAATAATAAACAGTATACTATATTCTTATCAAAGCTGTGGGGAATATCTTGAAAACAAAGCTAAAGTTTATTTTTAAAAAATAAATCTTCAAAAAGTAACAAAAACTTTATCACACAAAAGTCATCATACACTTTCAAAGAAATCTCTGCTTATTAGTAAATATTCTTATTTTTCTAATTAGTAATATTTAGTAGTTTCTTTTTGCATCTACAATAGCTTTAAGTTTTTTTTTAAATAAATATGACTAGTTTTTTTTTGTTGGGTGAAATTCAAGCAGAATATTTTTTATTAAATTTTACAGAAACTTTTCCAATACTCAATTGTGAATTTATGAACTTTTCCACAAATTTTATAATTTTAATGGCTGAGATGAAGTCTTTTTAAGCATTTTATCACATATTGCACAGTGCAATAAGACACAATAAACTAAATTAACAATATTCATTACTGATTTACCTCTTATGATGACAAATCTTAAACTTTCAAATTTGGTCTATTGTTTTATTATGATCACGAGCCGTTTTTAAATGATAAAGGAAAATATTATGGTGTTAGCATGCAAAAATTGAAATATAATTTTGCTTTCATAAGTTTGATACTAAATTCTAAATAAATAAATAAGAAATTAAATGAAAAATAATCAAATAAAAAAATTTAAGCAATAGACAATTTTAATTCTGAAATAAGAAATCATTTAAGCGTACGATGACTTTCGTGGGGTAAAATTTTTGTTACTATTTGCTTATTGATATCTTAAAAATAAACTTTTGCTTTGTTTTTAAAATATTCTCTGCAGTTTTGCTAAGAATAGATTATACATCTTATTATCAAATACCAAATCAAATTTATTTTAATTTATTAAATTTTATTTTAATTAATGAATTTTTATTTTAATTAATGAATTTTTATTTTAATTAATGAATTTTTATTTCCTTTTTCAATAAAAGTTATAAGTGAATGAACACTTTTGGGGGCCATTGTAATTATAAAAATTTGTTGATATATAATCATCTGGAACGGTTTTCCTTTGCTTAATGAAAATATATTAAACAATACTTATCCGTGGTTTTATTGGTCATTATGTTTTTGCCTTTTGGTAGGTAGACTTAGAGCAAAAACTATTTAAAGTAACACATTAAAAAAAAAAAATTCTATAAAAACAATATATTCTATAAGCTAAACATATTATTTTCTCCACATGTCTTTTTAAAAATTAATGTTGTACCAAAACATTTAAAAATAAAAAAAATCTTGTCAAATTGTCAAAATAAATTATTTTTTCATGATGATATGTTAAAAAATGACATTTTGAATAAAATATTTTATAATATAGACACTTTTCTTGTACATATTCTACACTTTATAAGAAAAAAAAACAGACCTGGAAATTTTAAGATTTTTGCCTGGAAAACCTGGAAAAATCAGGGAAATTTGAAATCTGATTTGAGTGACCACCCTGTAATATCATATTATTTAAGAGTTGATTTGAGTATTCATACTTGACAATATTAAATTATGAAATTTGTATACTATTTGTAATTGAATTCAATATGTGATATTTAGTAGTCATTATGATTTGTCGATAACTTGTTAATTTAATTTTATTTATAAAATGTTGTTATATTTCTATAGTTCTTTAAATAATTATGAAATTAGAATTTATATTACTCCTTAACTAGAAACTGGAAAAATTTACAGTTGTTTTAATTTCTTAAGAATTATGTTAAAATTATTTCTCCTTTATCTTTGTCTTCTTAAATATGTTTTATTAAATAGCTTAGAAATTGATGTTATCAATTAAACTCGGATGCATTTATACATCGTTTAAAAAAATTTGTATTTCATATTTCTTTTTTAATATTAGCTTCTTCCACTTGTGTGGAAGAAATGTATTTTTTCTGGGGTCATTTTTTCCTCTGGGAAAAATAAATATTTTTTATTTTATTTTCAGCTACATACAAATGTTATTCGAGATATTACATTCGTCCACAGTAGTTGGCCATTTGTTCGCAGTCAACAGAGTGCTATACTTTCTTTGTCATGTGATGGAGTGTGTAAGGTATTAAATTTTTTTATTCTTTCTGCGAGTCTTTTTTTTTTTTGCATATGTGATTATTTAATTCCAGCTGACCCATTCAAAATACCCTAAAATAAAATTATTTTCTTTAAATATTCTGTATCCTTCATTGCACCAAAAATTGGAAAGCCTTAATTATTTCTTATCTCATATTCAGATTCTCTTGTTCTACAACGCAATTTTATAAGTTCAATGAGCTAACCTTAAATATACTACTCAGTTTGTGCAGACGATACTTTAAGTTATAAAATCGAGCACAAAAACTTGAAATGAGCATATTACTTGATTTGGATTTTTAATCCTCAAAACATAACTCTAAGTCGCAATCTAAAGAATATGAGCCTAATTGTTTAATTAAGAGAATGGCCAAAATTTAGGCATCTTGATTTTCATTTCACATTTTGTGTACTTTATATCCTTGGAACTATTTAAGCTAATGAAAATATTTTAGCACACAATAATAAAACTTTTTTTTAAAGTAGGTATGTGTAAAAAATAATTATCATTTATAATTATTTAATTAAAAAAATGATCAGAAACTTTTAATAGTGAGGTGCACACATTTTTACATCATTTTATACTAGATAATTTTAAATGATGAAATTTGAAAAAAAATAACTCAAGTTTTTCTTGCGATATAAAAAATTTGTGTTAAAACTTTTTTTGAAATTTCATTTTTCAGAAGGAGTTGTGCTCAAATTTGGCATCATTTTATTATTTAAAATGAGATAATTTTTTCTATTCCTTACAAATCAAAATTATTTTGATCATTATTAAATGAAGCAATAGAAAATTATATTTAGCATGAAATTTTCTTTGAAAAAAACAAGTTCTACAACAGTGTGAAAATTCTTCAGAATAGTGTGCTATATGGAATGGGAAAGAACACCTAAATATGTTTAAATGAAGGCATTATTTTATTCTGAAATTAATTCCTAATTATGTGGCATGAATTTGGTGCTTCTCTGAAGCTTTATTTTGATTCAGATGTCATCTCTTGCCCACATTTAGTTCCACTGCAGGGCATATCTCTAGTCTAAATTAATGATGCTCACTTACCCATTGCTAGAAAATATATTTTTATGTAAAGCAGCATTACTTATCAAAGAGTCATAGTAATTGATGATTGATCACTAAGATGAAGATGAAACTGTTGTAGTTACGAGGCGCATCCAGAAAGTAAGTTTCCCTATTTTTTTTAAAAAAAAAGAACTCATACTTTCAGGAACATATTTATTGGCAACAAGTATGGCAATGTTTCAGCTATTTTTTAACATAGCCGCCACCAGAGTTGATACACTTATCGTATCGTGGAATAAACTTTTGTATCCCTCTGTCTTAGATCTCTGCCGTCTGTGAATGGAACCACGTGTTAAAACAGTAAACGCTGACTGTTACCGTGAAACACTGCAGAAATTGTGATGTGCCATTTAAAGAGGCGTGGAATGCTTACTGCAGGCGTTGTGCTCCTCCATGACAATGCTCGTTCACATACGGCTCGACGCACATCAGCTGTTTTGACGAAATTTGGCTCGGGATTGTTTGTTCATCCACCCTACAGCCCTGATCTTGTTCCCAGCGATTTTCATGTTTTCTTGCACCTCAAGAAATTTCTGTCCTCCGGTGAGCGTTTTGGCAATGACGAAGAGCTGAAGACGTCTGTCACACACTGGTTCCATTTACGGACAGCAGAGTTCTACAACAGAGGGATACAAAAGTTGATCCCACTATGTGACAAGTGTATCAATTGTGGTGGTGGCTATGTTGAAAAATAGCTGAAACATTGCTATACTAGCTGCCAATAAATATGTTCCTGAAAGTTTGAGTTCTTTTTTTTTGAATAATAGGGAAACTTACTTTCTGGATGAGCTTCGTATATTAAGTATATAGCAATTATGTATTTTTTTTCTAGTATCTTTGAAATTCAAAAATCTTTCCTTTCAAGTTTTTTTTCTTTCAATTCAGTATTTTTAATTTTAACCTGGTATATTCTGCCTATTTAAAAATTAATTATCCATCAATAATAATTGTGTTATGCAAAGAAAGCTTGGCATTACTAAGATCTCGCTTATTAGCTACGCTGTATCAATGTTTCGACATCATCTGGTCTTTGATTTCATTACTGTTGTAAAAATAAATAAATTCTTTATTTTTCATTATTGTTTGGAGGTTGGAAAAAATATTCACTAAAAAATTTGGTTATCTTTACTTCTTTTTTGAATTAGAGTATAAAAATTTTTGTCATGATATCCTAATTACAGGTTACTACATTAGATGGTCGCTACTTGCATTGCTTTGAAGTTGGTCATAGTGCTAATTCTATAGCTCCAACACCAGAAACATATGGAACAGGTTCAGAAGATGGCTTTTTCAGTAAGTTTTCATTTTGCTTATTTTTGTTTCTTTTTCTTATGAATAAAATCAATGCTTTATAGAGCTGTTTTATATCTAAGATAATTTGGTGATGCTGCCTTTAGACGCAGCATTAAGGTTTATAATTAATCACATTTCAGAACTTTTGTTTGTAAAATGTTAAGAAAGAATTTTTACTTTTTTTTTAATATTCGATAATATTTTATAAAAGTACTGGATTGAGTCGGAGGAAAAAGTTACAAATATTAGCATTTGTAGTACAATTATTATGGAAACCAGATTTGAGACAAATGGCTCTAGTTTCCTGACAGCAGTTGTGTGAATTTCTAGTGCCAGTTTGCAAATGTATTAGAACCATTCCTCTTTCTTGTCAATGCTAGATCCCATAGTGCTTGCAAAATTCTATCATTTTTGCAAAGCTCCAACTGGATAATCTAGAGCCACTTCCTATTCAGCCTAGATTTGGCACCCAGTGACTATTTCTTGTTTCTAAAATTTAAAGAAAGCTTTTTTGGGACAAGGTTCAGACAGTGTTCTGAAAACAGCTCCTGTCTCTACAGGCAGTTACATGATTTCTATCAAGATGGGTTAAACAAGTTGGTCCTGCATTCAGATAATGCTTGAATGTTTAATAATTGTTAAAAAAATTATAAGAAAGTCTGCCTCATAATTCTGTATATTTTTCTTTTTTTTTGTGTGTACTGATAATAAATAAATTTTACCTTTTTTGGATCTATCCTTGTGAAACCATTTAACATTGCAATTTTAAATTAATCAATATATTTTTAAAGTTTTTATTACTAAAATGTTGAGAATGAGTTTTGTCTTGTATTAAATATTTTTGCAAAAATAAAATATGGTTTTAACTTTCCAACTCCTTTTATAATTTTACTGTCGTCTGACTCTTGTCTATAAATGATTGCAAAACAACCTACATCCAACACATAGAAATTTTAGTTTTTTTTTTCTTTTTTAAATTTTCTGACATGGATTTCTTTTTTAATTGTTATTCTTAATTTATGTAATAGGTTTAATGATGGTAGGTGGTGATATTATATCTGGCTATATACCAGATGTTGGCATCCAAGAGCGTTTAAGAGAACATGGTAATGTGCCAATATGGAAGTTGAGGTAACTTTTAAATTAAATTTTTTTTGGTTATGGGAATTTTTAAGTTAAAGATTGAAGTATAATGCAAATAAATAATTATGATTTGAAATAATGCTGGTTTTTTTTTTCTTCAGGTACACTTCAAATGGTGGACTTCTTTACACAGCTTGTGATGGTGGTATTGTGCGAAAGTAAGTTTCCATTTTGTATTGCTTTCAAAATACTAAGGTACTGAATTGGGTATAGTATTTTCTCTAGTAGAGAGCAACTTCATGTCCCATTTCATTATGATGACATATTTTGCATCATGTGTTGATTGTTGTAAATTTGGCTATATAATTATATCCCAAAAACAGCTTACATTTAAAATGATGGTACTTTTTCATCTTAAAAACTATTAGTAGGTTAACAGAAAAATATTTAAATCACAAAACATGAAAGGGACAGAAAAAATTTTTTCTGCTCTTGCCTTTTAAAAAATATCACAAACAATTAATTTATTTTAGAATTGTTTAGTGTGGCCTTTTCCTGTGTAATATATTGCTAAGATGCACTCTTTTAAATGTTTTAAAAGTTCTTCCTCTTCTTCTGTACAATGTAAGTAGGCTAGGTCATATAATAACCCTCTACACATGAAATGAATTCTACATAATGAGTAATTTAATATACATATGAAACATTAGAGTTGTTTTGTGTAATGACTGTTACTTTAAATTTTTTTTAATAAGTGAAAATCAAATTTTTGTTTTGCTTAAAAAATATTTAATTGAAAAATTATAAATGACGAACTACATCTTTAATGGTTTTAGATATCAGAGATGCGTGTATTTGTGCAATAAAAAACATAAAATTAGCAAATTATTAAAAAAATTAAACCGAAGTCTGCAATAAAATATTTGCTTTACCAGTTTAACAGAACTCACATAGAAAGTTAATTCTAGAATTAGTTAGTTTTGAAGTTAATAATAGGAGTATAATTTATTGATTAGCTTATAGATCTTATTCTACATTCACTGTGTTGTGCAATTTCATCATGAAGTCTTTTTTTTTCCTCTCTTTTTTATAATAAGCAATTTAATAAAACCATTAATATAGTTATGTTAGAGTTTGGTATAGACATTCAAAATAACAAGCTGGGGTCTATTGGAATTTATTCATAGAAGTCCCTGGTAATCTCACGTGAAAATCCCGCAAACTCTTGTTGCCGGTATTGACTGGAGAAGGGTAAAAGTGGGATAAAATATAATACTGGTATTTAGCCAAATAACAAATAGAGACATTATTGCCGATATGTTTTAATCCCAATTGAATAAATCGCCATCATCTAGATTCTAGAAGATAGAATTAATAGTTTGGTAATTATAAACATTTTATGAGTTAAATGTACAATTTTCTACTTTTTATGCACCTAACATTACTATCAAGACAAGTGAGGTATTGTATCCTGAAAATTTTTTTATGATGGATTAAATGAGACCAGAAATGAATCAATCGGAATAGGATAGTAATAGGGAATGGATGATCCAATATTTCCGAAGTTATGAGGATTTTTATGTTTATAGTGGGTTATTTTCAACTTATATTTACTTTCTTATTTGTCATTTCTATCTAGTTTTTTTACGTAAGCAATATTTCTGTACATAAAATCTTTATAATTTCTAAACTATTGATCCTAGCATCTGACAATTGGTTTAATTTAATTCAGCGTAAAAACTTCATCAGTTCTTAAAAAATCAAACTTCTTTTTAACCCCTTAACTGCCGCGGGCGTATATATACGTTTCGGCCAGACGATGCGTTAACTGCCGCAGGCGTATATATACGCTTTCCCGAAGTACCATGCTTTGCATTGCGCTGCTATAAATAGAACTACACCCCCTATTTCAGAATGCAGTAAAATGGCCTTGAAAGTGTTTGCTTTGCGAATGTATTACTAATTTCGGAGGAGGGGGAATGGTAAAAAGAATGTTATGGAAAAGTGATATTGTATTTATTAATCGCTTGGTTGTATTTATTTGAGTAAGGTCGGGCTTATTCTTTTTTCGCTTTCGTTTCCCGTATGTATTTGGTGCTTTTTATTATTTCCATCAACGTCTTCAAAGAAAAATGCATCGCGAAAATGTGCTGTTTGTTCAAGAAAAAAAATCCAAAAAAAATCCCGCTATCAGTGCGATGAATGTGATGTTGGTTTATGTGTCCAACCATGTTTCAGGATTTATCATACAACAGCTAAGTTTTAA